GAACTTCCTCCTCCGATCCTATATGTATGCAAGTGGTGCATAAATAAAGAGAATGCATAAAAGAATGCAAGGTAATGATGCCATTATATGAAATAAGGATGCATTCATGTAGCCCTAATAACATAAGAAACTAGGGTTGCATTAACAACATAAAGGTGCCAAGGTGTTGCTTATAATCAAATCTTTTACTGAGTAAGTGCATATCTCTTCTCCGGTAGAGAAGGCAAATATTTTTAACTCACCTAGCACAATAGTTTTAGGTATATTTAGCGCATCAACAGGGTTTCAAAAAATACCATAGCATGATCACATAACCATTCTCCATAAAAGGGTAAAAGCTGGGCAAGCAACAAGTAACATGCATGGACAAGTTAAGATTGCATTCCATTTAAATTATTAGCTTATTCATCTTTGTATATATATGTAACCAACAATGTACAAAAAAGAAAAAGACCAGTTGCTGTACAAATTTGATTTGCAGAAAGATACAGCAGCACATAGGTGCTGTGAATAGCGTACCACACAAATTTCATCACATTTGGATATATGGAGCATCATATATAAAAAGGACAAACAATATAAACTTAATTCAACCTAAAACAGGGTCAGCCCACTTTTAGTCTCAAACAACAAATTTCAAAATTTTCCAGCATAGAGCATGTTACTAGAGAACTATGAAAATTGAAATTTCATGAATTTTTTATACTTATAGATTTAGATATCATTTTTGGAAGCTACAAGGTATTATTCTAGATAAATAAAAACAGTATATAAAAAGTTATTCAACAGCAAATTTTAAGACTCTAACAAGTAGAGCACAGCAAGACAAAGCTAAAAAATTTGATCCACTATTTTTGGACTTTCCTAGCTCAAGTTATGAATTTTCAAAGATTCACACATTTTCTGAAAAAGAAAAATAGAAAATCTAAACTAAAACCTATCGCTGGCTAGCTGCACTCGGTCCATTGCACCAGGGAGGCTGACGGTTGGGACCCGTGGGTCAACCGAGCCCACTCGTCTGACACAGAGAACAGAGGCGGCGCTCTGACCGGCGCCAGCTCGTCGGCGGCGAGGTTTCCGGTGAAGGGAAGAGCACCCACGTGTTCATCTCAACCTCACCCATCGTTTGGGGTAGATGGTTGACTCGGTGGCGGTCCCTAACTATGGCGGCAACGGCCATGGCGGCATGGCGGCACTGCACGGCGGCGTGCTTGCTGGCTCCGGTGAGAACGCGGCCGGCATGGTACCGGCATAGCTTTAGGGACTCGGGTCGGCTCTCGGTCTGCGTAATTTGGGCCTGTCGGGGCTGCAGCGAGGTGTGGCCACGCGCATGGCGGCGCGGCGGCCAGAGCGCGATGGCGGCAAGCCATGTTCCGGTAAGGGAACGGTGGTAGAGATACAATTGGATTTGGAGCTAGCTGCTACGTCCTAAGGTGGTGCTAAAACAAGAAGAAAGGGCAGAAGAAGAAGACGGGGACGGGCTGGCCACGGCGAGCGTGAACTCAGCGGCCATGGCGCCCATGGCGGCGGCTTTGGCCCAAGGCCCTCACCTTCGGTTGAACAGCGACGTGGATAGGTCGGAGAGGTATAGGAATCCATGGCGCTGCTATGTGAGCGGTGAATTGGATAAAGGCGCGGCAACGGCGATGAATTCACGGCAGCGGCGGCGTGGTGCTCCCTGCTGTCGCCAATTCCATTTTGGGAGGGAAACAGAGGGAGAGAGCATGCGCGAGAGGGAGCGAGAGCAAGAGGAGAAGGCCGGGTTGGCTTCTCCACGCCCACAACGCGCGGCAAGACCAGCTCGATGCCGGTGAAGAGCCTCCACACATCGTGGCGATGGTGCACTGTGGCGTGGATGCCACGTCCCGAACTCGACGTTTTCAGAACGCGCGAACTGACTGAAATCCTAACTTCCCCGGTCTTTATCTCTCGACGCACACATCCATAGCGCAAAGTCCATTACTAAACGTTGTAGAGCTAGGCAAGAGCTACACCATTGCTTAAAGGAGCAGAAGCAAAACCTCACTAGTTTGAGAGATTTAGAATTTTGAAAACAGGTAATTGAAACTGAAAACTGAATTCAATCTCAGAGTTATAAAACAAATTTGATTAACTAGTTTGAGCAATTAATTATAGGTTAACCACTACTCAAACATCACAAACAATGGTTCATTATCAAAGCACAAACTTCATACCAATTCATAGAAGCATAGTTGCACAGATTTTATTTGTGAAAATTGATTACATAAAATCTCAACTTTGAACTTAACATCTGTTATTCAAAGACAGAAAATTTTTGGAAGGCCAAAACAGCGCTATATACAATTTTGTGGTCACTGTTAGGACAAGTTAAAAGTTGATTTGACTCTTGATCCTTAAACAAAGTTTGAAGATCACAAACTAAACTACAAGTTTTATTTAGGGTCAAACCTTAGAAAAAGTACAGAACCTATAGTTTTATTCTGGTCAAAACAGCATCATGGAAAGGCATAAAACATTACTTGAAACATTTAGAAGCATATTTTGACTAGTTGTTGACACAAACCCTAACCCATTTGTGATCCTATGTTGTTCTAGGTTACTTAGGTGATCAAACATCAAGCACTTGAGTTATCAACATGATCATATGAAATCACACATATAAAAGCAAAGCATCACATAAAACAACTATGAACTTAATCCAAGACATTATCATATTCTTATGATCACGAATGCATAAATGATGCTTATTTTTATGAAATGCAAGTGCAAGTGCAAGATTAACACCTAGGGTGTTACATTCACCTTTCCCAAGAACTTGTGCAAGTCCTTTTTGCATTTAGGTGCCTGAACTTTCTTGATCTTCTCTATTCTTTTAGGATCAATCTCATGAATAATGAAGCCCAAGAATTTACCGGCCGATACACCAAATGCACACTTGAGTGGATTCATTTTCAAACCATACTGGTGCATCCTCTCAAATGCAAGACACAAATCGGCCAAATGAGGATCATGAGCGGCCGATTTGATCACAATATCATCAATATAGACCTCCATAATGACACCAAACAAATCATGGAAGATTAAATTCATAGTTCTTTGATAAGTAGTACCAGCATTTTCAATCCAAAAGTCATGACAACCCACTCAAAAAGACCAACAAAGCCAGGACATATAAAGGTCGGATTTGAAGCATCCTCTTTGGCCATAAAGATTTGATTGTAACCAGCATTACCATCAAGAAAACTAATAATTTTATGTCTTGAAGTAGCATTAATAAACATATCAGCTATAGGCATAGGATACTTATCTTTTGGAGTGGCTCTATTAAGATCTCTAAAATCAATGCAAACCAAGATTTTTCTAGAATCTTTCTTCTCAACGGGCACAATGTTAGAAACCCACTCCGCATACCTGCATGGACAAATAAAACCCGCTTCCAACAACCGATTAATCTCCTCTTTAATCCGGTCATATATAGTAGAATATTAAAGCGACACGGGTGTTTCTTGTGAGGCCTAAACCCAGACTTAATGGGCAGCCGATGCTCAATGAGCTCGCGGCTTAATCTAGGCATCTCAGTGTAATTCCATGCAAAACAATCTATATATTCTTTGAGAAGCTCGATTAACTTAACTTTATAATCGACTTCCAAGTTTTGATTCATAAATGTCACAGAGCCATCCCCAATATCAACATGCTCCAATGGGTCGGCCGACGTGAAACCTTGTCCTAATTTATCAAGCTCATCGAAATCATCAATAGCTTCACAAGTATTGGTCTTAGAAGCCCAATATTGCTCAACATGATGTTTTAACCATTCTAAATTAGCATCCATTGAGAAATTACAAGATGATATTGAGCCGATTATCAATCGGCTTCAAAGAAACAGGTACAAAGCCTTCCCTAGTGACCCTAATAAACCAAAAATCAGAAAGATCATGTCCAAAAAGACAAGCAATACCATCATGCCCCCCGAGCGAAGGAGCATCGGCCGTAGCAACATAAGCCGATGAATCTACATGGACAACCTCAACATCGTCTCCCACCCATTGAATGAGAAACTGGTGCAAGCTAGAAGGAACACACCGATTTGCATGAATCCAATCGCGCCCAAGAATCAAATTATAGCTACCTTGCACCTCGGCGACGAAGAAAGCGGTGGCCAAAGTCTTGCTTCCAATGGTGACCTCCATCGATGCAACTCCTTTGGCCGGAATAGGATCACCTCCTCCAACTTCGTTGATCATCATGTTGGTTTTGATCAGCTCCTCATCCGTGCCTCCAAGTTTCTTATAAAGCAAATATGGCATCAAATTTACAATCGCTTCGCTATCCACTAACATATTGTGAACCGGAGTCCCATTAACATGACCCTTCACATGTAGTGGTTTGAGATGATTAACAGAGTCCTTTGGTTTCTAGAAAATAGCACTTTGAATAGCAAAATTGAATTGGGTGGTCGTCGAGTCATCTCCCACAACATAATAGTCGGACGACAAATACACCATATTCACTTCTGCCCTCTCTGGAGAAGCTTCATAATCCACCAACTCCTCACCGAGAACCTCATTGTCATCCACAACCTGTATACCAACCATAGAAGCAATGGTGGAGGCAAAATTATTTGAAGACATTTCGGAGGCACACGGTGTAGTGGGAATCAGCTCATCATCCAAATCTCCAGAAGACTCCTCAACATCCATAGGAGCAATAGCATCATCAACCGAGGCCGATTCAATTGGAGACGAATCGATGATGTTGGGAAGCAGAGGAACCGGTCTAGTCGCTTTAGAAACTGGCCTAGTCGGTTCTGCAGTAGTGGCAGCCAGTGGAACCGGCCTAGCTGGTTTGGTAGGCTCTAAAAATGATGAACTAGCCTGGCCGGTTTCTAAACCGGCCTAGTCAGTTTCGCTGCTGCAATCGGCAACTTCTCCTTTTTTGCTTGATTGTATCGAATTGAAAATTTATTCATTGATCTTCTCCAACTTCTCCTTCTTTTGCTTGTTGTGCTGAGCATGCTACAATTTATGCCTCTTTGTCTTGGTCAACCCCGGAGGACACCACTTTGGTTTCAAATATTTAGGATCACGCTCGGCATGCTTCTCTTTCTCAATTTCAGCAACAACACTTGGAGATTCTTCTTGAGTTGCTGCTGGAGCCAAACCCTCAATCACAATCAACCCAACATCATTAGTGATGGGCGCCTCCATAGAGCCAATTGTGATGGATGGAAGAGGATTGGGCTTCGGTGAAGGAGCAATGGGAATTTCAACCTTCTTAGGAACATAAACTTGCTGCATCGGTGCCTTTCCTGTCTCTTGCCGAGTCAAAGTTCTTGATGTGATGACTTGGCCTTGGTTTGTACCGCTAGAGCTCGATTGGCCATTGCCCAATCATCTAAATATGGATTGTCGTGAATCATAACCAGCGGGCTCTCTCCACCTTTGTTGATGATGCATAGGTGTCGTCAGAGGATATGGCACCCAAACTCCATAAGGGCCCCATTGTGGTGTGATGGGATGCGAAATCAGGGGGTCCCAATGAGACACATGAGGAGCAACTCCCTGCTACACTGGAGCCGCTACCTGAGCCACCACCATTTGCTTGGATCGATCATCTTGCTTGGGAGGTGGAGACTCTCTTCTTTTAATGGCCGATTCATAGAATTGGTCTTTTCTTTCTTATACTTGGCCATGAGTCTATCAAATGTGCATTGGCACTTCACGAACTTCCCTTTGTTCTTATCTTTATTAGACTTCCATGTGCCAAATTCGGGCCTTTTAGGAACAAAAGTGCGCAATTTGCGATTTTCTGGGCTGCTGGAACCTGACGAACTGGCCTGGCCGGTTTGGCTGTTGTGTGAAACCAACCTAGCAGGCCTTTGCTGAGTTGCCACCGCTTCATCATGCCGGTGCTTGTTTAAATATTTGGTTGAGCTTGCTATGGTCTTGAGTTGATTTTTGCCATCCTCATTCTTCTCAAGAACCACTTTGCGCCCCACAACCTTCTCAACTTTTGGCACTTCCCGAGGCTCGCTGATTATCACATTTTTGCCATGGGTCGAATCAGCTTGCTCCAGGTGAATCAAAATAGCGGGCTCCCCTACTTCAACCATATGCATTGGAAAAGGGCACTTATCAATTTGCATCTCAGTATGACTCAATCGTCCCTCATTAAGGGCCGATTGGACCTGCCGATCGAAAACATAGCAATCATTAGTGGCATGAGAAAAAGAATTATGATATTTACAATAAGCTTTCCTTTTCAATTCCTCAGGTGATGGCAATGTATGAGTAATTCTAATATAACCGAATTTAAGTAATTCATCAAAGATTCAGTCACATTTAGAAACATCAAAAGTAAACTTCACTTCTTCATTCTTATTCTTATGCATCAGCTTGAGAGAAGGACATGTAACTAATTTATTTTCTGCTGGCCATCTAATTTTAGCAGCATAGCATTCTTTATTTTCATCATCCAAGCCATCAGAATAGCCATCTATAACATGCACATTCGAACGATGTGACCTACAAGCATCACAAGACTCTTTAAGGTGCGATTCAACCAAAATGGCCTTTTGCATAAGTTGATTAACATTAAGGAACTCATAATGCTCAAGTTTCTCTCTAATACTAGGACGTAGACTAGCAAAGCATAAATCAGTTAAATCTCTTTCAAAAATATTCAAATGAAAACATCGGTTCTTGATTTCTCTGAATCGTTTGAAAAAATCAAGGACGGGTTCATCACGTCCTTGACGAACTGATGTAAAATGTGACAATCTAGTTTCATGAGTGTAACACCCTAGTGTTAAGCATTGTATTTGTCACTTGCATTTCATGAGCACAAGCATCATCCAAGCATTCATGAGCATCAGCATATGGAATTTCATCTTATTCTTACATATTATCACATATGAGTTGATTATATACATGCATATGCTTGTGGCAATGTGTGACCAATGCAAGAGATGGTTGTGAGGTCACAAAAACACCTTAGACACATCTAGGATGGTAAATGGAACAATGTTTGTATTCATGACATGGTCCAATTTTGCTTCTAAGTGTTGGTTTACTTTGAAATGCCTTTTACATAATGCTAGTTTGACCAAAGTTGAACAGTAGCTTAGAGAGTTTGCATGGCACTACACCCTTAATAAAAGTTGTAGTTCTTGAGATGGGGAACAAACTTTGTTTTAGGGCCATGAGTTAATTCAGTGCCTAACATAGTCAAAAACAGCTCCAAAGTAGCAATCAAATGTTGTTTAGGGACTTCGAAATTTTGCTAAGTCTAAAGCTGGTTTTTAGTTTCAAAGTAGCCTACTTTGGAGCATTGTAGTTTGGAAACCATTATAAATTAGACAAAACTCTTTTAAGCAAAGTTGTAGTTATTTTGTAGCTCTACAATTCTTAGTAATGATGTTTTTGCTAAATCGCCATGGATTAGGAGATCTATGAGCTCAAAGTTGCCCTTTCAGTCAACTAAATCAGGCCTGATGGCCGATTTCAAATGGCCTCGGTGGCCGACCGCACATAGGCCAGGCACACCATCTAGCGGCCGTACGCCGACGCTAGGCCACGCTGCCAGGCCAAAGGAAGGGCAAGCCTCGCGTGCACCCTCTCTCACTCTCACTCACGCTCTCTGTCTCTCGCTCTCGCACAGCGCCGAAGTAGAGGAGCACCGTGACATCGCTGCCACCAAGCTTCACCGGCCTAGCTTGCCACCACGCCACACCATCATGCAATCGCTCGCATACACAGAGTCATCGTGCCATCCTCTTCACCCCTGACCCGCTTGTGTCGCCGTTTGAACCAAAGTGAGGGCCCTCGGGCCAATGCCATCATCGCCATCGCCATGTCCGTCAGAGCACCATTGAGCTCGGTCCTACCATGGCTAGGACAGCTCACGGCTGCTCTCCCTCTTCTCTCCTCTGTGTTGTAGCCGCTAGGGTTCGCGCTTGCTCGAGCCCTCGCCCGTTGGCCAATGCCGGCCTCGCCAGAGGCGAACGCCGTGTCGCACCACCACGCTCTCGCCGCCAAGCCTCCATGCACATGGCCATGCCTCACTGGTGCTACCACAAAGCCCTACCATAACCCTAGATCTCCGCTAGGTCACCACGAAGCTATAGCCGTGCTCGCCCAAGCATGCCATGGCCGGGGATGGCTGGAGCACCGCCGTGCACCTCCGCCGAGCCGCCATTAGCGCTGCCACCGTAGCCAACCGCCATTAGAGGTCCGACGACCTACCTCATTCGATATGTGATGTTGAGGGGAACACGACGGTGGTGACCATACCGCCGGAGACCTCGCCATCGGCGAGCTATGGCCAGTCAAAGCGCCGCCCTACTTTTGTGTGTATGACATGTGGGGTCGCATTGACAGTGGGCCCCCGCTATCAGCGCCTCTAGGTGCATAGGACCTGGTGCACCTAGCTGCTGGGCCCGATTTGAAATTTGATTTTTCTTTTTTTTCTAGATTTTGTAGCAAAAATCATATCTGGAGTTATGAGTGTCCAAATGAGGTGATCCAAATTTTGTTGGATTCATCATGAAGTGTACTATTTGATAAAATATGAAATCTACTGTTTTGGGTATTTTTCTGAGGGAATTAAATTGAGCTAGATAAGTGCTTTTAAATTTGTTTCTATCATGTAAAATGTATAACTTGAGCTAGGGAAGTGCTGAAATTGTGATTCTAATTTTGTGGGTCTTGTGTTGGCATTCTCTAGCTAGAAAAAATACTAAACCTACAGAAGACATACTTGAAATATGGTCTTTCTATTTAACCTTGATTATTTGCTAGTTTCTAGTGAAAATAAATGGGGTAAAAATATATAACATATGATCATGTAAATTTTTACACAGTGTTATTATGCTAGGATGAAAGTAATAAAAATATTAAATCTGTTGTTTGACACTTTTCACTAGGCTAAACTATTTTTGCTAAAATAAGCCTATGCAACTTATCATTTTTGTAGAGGTTTCTATACATATCCAAATGGCATGAAATTTGTATAGTATACAATTGGGTTTATATGAAACCTATTGTACTTTTCTAAAGATTTATTGAGTAATATAAATATTTATCCTCTAAATCACCCTATTATATAAGGAAAATTAATAAATAACTATAAATAAATTATTTGGGCTTAACCATTATGTTTTCTAGGGTGCTTGTGATGCATATGATCTATTGATGTTAGTAGTGGTGCTTAGAAATAATTGGTTATAGGCAACTAGTTAATTCTGGCTCTATAATTCAATTGGATGATTGCATGTATAGTTTCTGTTGTCATGGTGTTTTCATAATGAAGATGAAGTTTGTTGTGAATCTTGTTAAGAACAAAGTTGTAGATAACTTACTCATATTGCTTGTCCTAAAATTCCATGGTCATAGGCCTAATGGTTTTAGAGTTATAGCTGTTAGAAGTCTGCTATCAGATTTGCTTGTTCTCTGGATAGATTTAAAAGATTGAATTGTTTGTCCTCGATAGCTACTTAATCACCTTAAGATGATTAAAACAAGGTTGTAGGAAATTTCATAAGATTTCCATAAAGTCCACAACCATATTGTTTGGATGTGTATAACTCCATTTATGGTCAAAACAAGTAGCTGCTGTTTTGCAGCCTAGAAAATGCTAAATAGGTGTTTGTTTAATTACTAGAGAGGAGATATGCACCTACTTAGTAAAAGAAAGTTAATCTTGTTATCACCCTAATACCTTGTTGTTAAGGACATTTATGTTTATGCATCATATCATATCATCCATATCATTACCGTGCATTCTTGTATCTTATTTTGCGCTCATGCATATAGGATCGTCAGAAGGAATCACACTCTTGGAGTTTGAGGCAGAGGAGGAGGAGAATCAGGAGGCACCATAGCAGGTAGCCCCTGAATGCGAGGAGAAGGCTCCTGAGGAATACCGGAGTGCCCCAATCATAGGCCTACCTCCTTTCTGAAAGGCAAGCTCTAAAGCATTCTAAGCCTCCTATATTTTTACAAATATCACTTGAATCCTTTATGTTTGATGCATTAGGTTATAAGAGTTGGTTGGAAACACTTGATGCATAGAACTACCTTGTCCAGAAATATACCTTAAACCCTATGTAGGTCTAGGATCAAACATATGCTTAGCCATTCTTAGACCGGTAGAAGTCGGGTGATTTTCTATCACCTGCGAGATATAGGTGGATACCGAAGCACGGTTGGCTATATTTGTTATCGTGGAAAATAACCATGGGATGTTATCTAAGTGGAGACCGGGTAGGATCTTATATGCACATAGTGTGGGTTGGCTA